TAAATTTAAATTCCGCAGCCACTCTGGGCAGCTTCCAAAAAAAATTAAAGTACTGTAATACATCAAACATTAAAAGCTTCCCTAAACAGGGCTGCCTTCAGATGTCTTCTAAAAGTCTGGTAGTTGTTCTCTTTGACATCTGGTGGGAGGGCGTTCCACAGGGAGGGCGCCACTACCGAGAAGGCCCTCTGCCTGAAGGGTAGGAGATGTTATTTCAGAGATTTGGGGCCTCAGTCATTCAGGGCTCACTAATGTGAGGGCTTTGAATTGGGCCCAGAAATAAACTAACAATAAATCAGAAACCTTGTCAATATTATGCAACTGATATATAGGTTAAACCGAAGAACATTGTGTTCAGCGATTTCTAGCTTAGGTTATTTGGTAGTCTTCCCCTTCTGGGTCAATTCATGAAGTTGGGTAGGCTTATGCTTCCTTCTCTAGCACAGATAGTGCCTGAAATGGACTCTGTGTAGCTGGAGAATGGTGTATTTTCAGGGACTTGAAGGCAGTATATATTTTATTTATTTGTTGCATAAAATTTACACACCATTTAACTTGTAAAAAACAACAACAACCCTGAAAGTATGACAAACCATTGCTTGAAGAGTACACATGTTCATTTCTTTTCTTTTCAGAAAAATATCTGTAATGGTTCCATCTGCGTTGCTGGAGGTAGTGTGCCTCTGAAAATTAGCTTCTGGGACTCACTGCTCGCAGGTTTCCCATAGGTGCATGGTTGGCCACTATGAGAATAGGACATGGGATTAGATGGACCATTTGCCTGGTGCAGCAGGGCTTTTCTTAACTTCTTACGTTGTTCTTTGGTCAATAGGTTTTGCAGGGTTTTTCTCAATGCAATGCAGGAATAACATGGTATCACTGTATAGTTTACTTGAACTTATACATGTGACTGTCCACTGCCACAAGGGGGCTCATTATTTTAAGGACAGAGAGGCAATTCAATAAAATAGTGTTGAGGACAGAATATGACAAAGTTAATTGACAGTGGAGTGTGCAGAAGAGGCAACATTATTGCAACTCAGGAAAGAATTTGCCGACAAAATGGGGTCTGACAATCCGGCAGAAGGATCAAGAGGTGAGAGTGGAAGAATGAAACACAGGGAACAAATAAAATATGTAGCAAGAAGAAGAAAAAAGGGTGATGCACGAGGAAATATGTGCACAGTTGTATGTATGCTGTGAGTTTACAGCAGCACAAATAAGCCACAGAATGTGGTTTGGTCTGTAGATTTCAGCATTCTGATCTTTTCAGTTTTCTTAAAAAAAGATTACGTTTCCAGACCTTGTGTTTGCAAAGACATGGTAAACTGTAAGTAGTTTAAAACTGTTTTAACATTGTTTTTTAATTGTTGCAACCCATGCCTGGACCTTAGGGTGAAGAGTGGGTTATTATTACTATTACTATTGTGTCTGCTGCACCTGGTGAAATATCAGCAATCCAAAGAGTAGCCATGGGACGCGGGTGGTGCTGTGGTCTAAACCACTGAGCCTAGGGTTTGCCGATCGGAAGGTTGGCAGTTCGAATCCCTGCGATGGGGTGAGCTCCCATTGCTCAGTCCCTGCTCCTGCCAACCTAGCAGTTCAAAAGCACGTCAAAGTGCAAGTAGATAAATAGGTACCGCTCCGGCAGGAAGGTAAATGGCATTTCCGTGCGCTGCTCTGGTTCGCCAGAAGTGGCTTAGTCATGCTGGCCACATGACCTGGAAGCTGTACGCTGGCTCCCTTGGCCAGTAAAGATGAGTGCCGCAACCCCAGAGTCGTCCGCAACTGGACCTAACGGTCAGGGGTCCCTTTACTGTAAGAGTAGCCATTTTGGATTTCCAGCACTAGGGGTGGAGATTCAGTCACCTTTTATCTTCCCCATATTCAGATTAGGAAACATTAGGAGTGATTACATATAAAATCAATTTTTTTTTATAGTATGCAACTATTTTTGCAAATTGTTGGTGTTTTAAATTGTACATCACTATGGTTGCTTTGAGGAAGGAAGTTTAAACTTTTGCTTGCGTATTTGTATTTACATACTCCGAAAATAATTGTGACAGGAATAATAGTGATGATTTCTGCTGCTGCTTCTGTTTTCCCCCATTGTGATTTTTCTATTATTTTTACAATGGTGTATGTTCCTTGAGTGGTACGGCAAGTGATAAACACAGTCCATATTGTGGACGTTGTTTATGCCACAAAGAAACAGTTATACATGCGCCTTCTGATCTTGAGCAGGACTGACCAACTTCTTTTGCCCAGGGAGGTCAGAAGCCAGTCCAGTTGTGACGGGGCTAGATCCTCTGGCCACGAAGTTGCACTTCACACTTGTGTTCACTGGCCAGAAGAGTCCTCTTTGCAATTAATGGGAGGAAGCACAAGAAGCTTCAGGTATTAATGCAGACATTTCTGGAACATTTGGGGTTGACAACTACTGACAACTTTGGAGAGAAGCTTGAGTGCGTCACTGTGTTTTGCCAGGCTAGCAATTCTCTAAGGCTCAACCCTGTCTCACTAGTTTTGCCACACAAAGAGAGGATGCCTCTGAGACCTCTGCTATATCACAGAAACCTGTTGGGTATTGTGTCATGGTGCTCAGCACTGCTGCATTACACAGCATCCTGTTTTTGACCTGTAGCAATTCAAATGCCCTTGAAATGTGAAGCATTGTTGTGCGGGAGAGTGGGTAATCTTGTAATTTTTCCCCCCTTTAAAAAGTTGTATGAGTGCTTTGACAGATCAATGAATAAGCTTTCACATATCTACAGTAAATATCCCTCAAAACGGTTCCATAATTGTTGAGAGCATGAGATGGAGTTAAGTTTGTTACTTAGTATGGAGCTATGGGCATTCCCTAATAGGTGGTCATGACAATAGCCAGACCAAAATGTCTATTGCAGAAGAAGCACTGATTGCATTGCTGATGTGTAGTTCTGGTTTCCCCAGGGTATAAGCGCTCTCTCTCTCTCTCTCTCTCTCTCTCTCCTTTGAAAGCATGCAAAACAAGCAAGACCTTTCTGTTTAAAGAGACTTTGTGAATCAAGGCTGGGATGTATCTCATATCCCTGGTTGTGGGATGTGTCTGAAAAACTATAGGCAGGAATTGAACATTGGGCTAAGGTGAACGTTCTCTCCACACAAACAATTCAGCTTGCCTGGCAGAATGTTGTTATTATTTATTTTATTTATTAAATTTCTATACCACTCTTTATCTAAGGATCACAGGGTGCTTAAGGCACCAGGCGAGCCTACCTGGGGAGAGCATTCCACAAGTGGGGAGCCACCATAGAAATAACCCGTTCTCATGTTGCTATCCTCCAGACCCCTCGCAGAGGAGGCTCACGAAAAAGGGGCCACAGATGATCACAGGGCTTGGTTTGGTTCATAGGGGGACAGGCAGTCCTTGAGAATGTTATCCTTTCTCCCCCCAATTTTGAGCCAATTTCTGAGCCAATTTCAAGGTAGGGGACACAGGGAGAGAAGGGAGGGGGGAAGCCCTACTGCGCTTGCAGAAATCCTTGCACAGGCTTCTGCTAGTGCGACTCATTAGTTGTATCAAGCCCTTAATCTATATTACGAACACTTGTTGAGACTTGAGGGGAAATCCTAGTTCCTACCTACTTAAAGGCATGTGCCACAGAAATGAGTGAGATTCATTTCCAAGCAACAGTGTATAGGAGGAATGGATTTGTATGTCCTATTGAATTTAGGGCACTTGCTTTCATGCTAGCACTATAGGATAAGGGTGCAAGTATTTCACTGCAAACTATATTATGTTATGTTATTTATTTATTTCAATGTTCCTTTCTGCCACAAAGTTATATTCAAGGCAACTCACATGTCATTGAAAAATTAATGAAGTAAAAATATGATAGCAGTACAAACCCAAGAACAGGAGACACAAACCATATCCGAAAGCAGCAGTAAAAGCAAATGAAAGCAGCACCAACAGTCCACAGATAATAACAAACAATATCCATAACCAAAGACAATGACATTAATAATTATCAGCTACTAATTAATTTAACAGAAACCATTAAGCAAAAGGTCAGGCAAACAGGACAGCCTTTTCCGATACTTGTTACAGTCACGCACACTGCTGGCTTGCTACTCTTTGCAGTGATTCTGGTATTAGTTTGGTACTGGACAGGAGGGTACCATCAGCTCCTTATTTCAAGGAATAGTACCTTATTTATGAACCTTATGAACTGGTGAGATGCACCATAACTGCAATAAGCAATTTTGATTTAATACATTACACAAAGTATTGTTCATGTCCTGAGGCATGCAATACATCATTTTCTTATGGCCTCACAATCTGTTCCGTATTACGAAGCTCTTCAGGTGGCAACCTAATAGTATTGAAAGTCATGGCAGAAGAAAGCCTGAAAAGCATTGATGAACAACAACATTGCCAGTACTTAACTGTATGCAGCAGCAAAGCATGTTATTTTTCACCAATGCTGTTCTGCCAGAGCTAAATCCTTGTTTAGACATGCAACCATTTTTCTACTACAGCAAGAGGAATTTTATGGAGTCACATCTTCATAGTTTCCCCAAAATAATGTTTTAAACTTGTGTCGGCCAACACAAATTCAGCAGTCCCCCAAGTGCATAAGTTCTCAAAGTGCCAAAGTGTTTTATTATGCTCAAAATGTTTTACAAGTTTTGCCTCTGATGAGGGAATTTCCTAATTCTGTAACACATTGGGCATAACAAAATGTTTATGCACTCTGAAAACTTGTTTTCTATTCCCCTCCAGCACATACTTAGCAAACTACATAGTTTAAGCTTACAAAACTCGTATTAGCATATGATCTAATCATAGATAGAAGCTATCCACGTGACATGTGAAACAAATAATAATAATACTGTGTAAAATAATAACAATTTTCACAGGAACCCACCTTTATAGCTTGGTTTTATCATGCATTAGGCACTGATTTTTAATACTCAGTAGATGTATTAAGTTATCTCATTTTTTCTGCTCTCAGTCAACAGAATACTCAGCCATGGCATCACTAACTGGTGGATTAGATGATATGAAGGCTAATTTAACAAGCCCTACTTCAGCAGATATAGGAGCCAGTGTTCCAGGTCCACAATCATATCCTATTGTGACAGGTAAGGAAAATTAGATGATCTACCAAGAGCATGTTATTAATGGACATACTGTATGAAATGGCAAGTGGGAGGAGCTTATGGTGATGTAGTAGGAGGTTTTGTCATTCCTTGTTGAAACTGTCTTAGTTTTGATGTTTGATATCTGTGATACCTATGATATGTAAGGTTTCTTACAGCAGCCCGTGTCCAGTATAGGTTTGCCATATAGTTATTATTTCAAGGAGTCAAATATTTGTTTGTGAGAGGCACCATAACTGGAACATTAATACATATTGGCCAAACTCCTAGGAAAGTCAGCTCAGTGTTACATTAAAGATTTTCTGGGAGATCAAATTCTACGGGTAGTGGCTAAATTTTTACCAGTGGCAGTGGAAGGATAATATTTGGGACTTCAATTGTTACTGTGTACATTGTGCTTGTTTTTGTCTATTGAATGTATTAAATTGAATGTATTTGTTTTTGTCTATTGAATGTATTAAAATGATGATGGTGAACAAGAGGAGTATAGCCTAAAAAGCCTTACAAATTTTCTGACATATGCTATTTTCTTATGGTCTCCTTATTTTGGAGCTTGGCAACTCTACTCTTTGAACGATTGATGGGAGAGGCCTTGTTCTGTATTCCCTTGATTTGGTGCTTGAAGTGGGTTTTGGCGAGGGCGGGATGCCATCTAATTTACTTTCAGGCAGACCTAAAAAGACTCCACTTCTTTTCAGTGGGTTTAATTGACTCTGGCCTAATTTGAAGCGAAACCATCCCAGTTAATTTGGGTGAGGGCAGGGCTGGATTTAGATGAAGAGAGGCCCTAGGCTACTCCACTTGTGAGGCCCCTCCCAATCCCTCACCCTCACGACTAGAAGAAAATGGAAGAGTGTTATAAACAAAATTGAATGAAGCTAAGCATGACGATGGGTATTTAAAATTCTGCAATTCACAATTTCTCCTCTAAAGGACATCAGAAAACTCCATCAAAATTTGTTTGTCTAAGTTTGTCACTTTCAATGTACTGAATGCTCAGTGTGGACAACCTCTCTTGAGACATCGTGGCCCTTAATTCATTTTTAATTCTTTTGGGTCTTGAAAAACTCCTCTCTCCCAATCAGTTAGTGACCATAAAGCTAAGAAATAGCTGCAAAACTGCTTCCACATTAGGAAAGGTCATCTGAATTTTTTCCTTGTATATAGTTTGATAAAGGTCTGTACAAGACAAAGAGTGCTCTGCTGTAAGCCCATGACTTTGTCTCATGTACAGGTGAAAGTGCAAAAGTTCATCAATAGGTTTCAGGTCCATATCTTCTGGGGATGCTTCCATCAACAGTTCAACACCTTGCTGAATTTCTTTCTTAGATGCTATCAGAATAGCAAGAATGGAAAAACAATTGTGCAACATCACTGTACACAGTACTTCTTTTTAAATTGGCTTCAAGTGCATCTAATATAGGAATAAAGGATTTTATCCTAAACTTATCTCTTGCAGAAAGTGCATCTAAGGCATCAGGTGCACTTCTGTCATTTCTTTGTCATTTCCTCACTCTTTGTCTCCTAGTTTTGTAGTTAACATTTGGCAAGGTGGCTTGTTTCTCAAGCTCATCAAAATCTTCTCTTTAAAAAATCCAGAAGTGAACTATACAAACTTGCACAAGAACTCAATAACAGGTCTGATTTCTGAAGGGCTTTACTGACCTTGTGAAAATGACCTAGCACACAGATTTATATCTCTAAGATTCTGCAGATTTTGGCTGTGAACTAGGGCCTCACATTATTTTCCCAAGTTGGGCCCTCCTAGAGTTTCAAATTGGGCCCCACTGGCTGGTCCTAAGTCTCACAGTTGCTTGGCCCGAGTTGCCCTGCCCTCACATGAATGAAGTCTTGGGTTTGCAATTTTGGGAGAAAGGAGACTGCCCTCTGGGGGGTGGGCAGGCTGGGGAGGCCCCCTAGATTTAGATGCCCTAGGCTTCAGCCTACTTAACCCATACATAAATCCGGCACTGGGTGAGGGCTTCTCCTTTGCACTCACAATATCAAATGACCTGCTCAGCTTTTGCCAATAGTTGAAGACTTTCCTGTCCTCAAGAGCATTACATGATCATGTTGATGACTGGCTTATTGGATTATGCTGATGATTAGAAACTGTTTCATTCCTAGTTCCCACATCTATAGCATGTTTAAACTTTTATTTTATATATATATATATATATATATATATATATATAACAGTATTTGAATACCTGTTGTAGAAAATCAATCAGTAAATTATTTTATAAATAAATAAATTACACTACACACTGAGTTCAAGGGTTTCAGGCCTGCAGTTTGTATAGATCTGGGGTCTGCAACCTTTAAGACAAAAAGAGCCACTTGGACCCGTTTCTGAAGAAAAAACAACCTGGGAGCCGCAAAACCATTGAGACATTTAAAGCATGCCCTCCGATCTGACAGCGGGTGGGAAGGTGACGTCGGGACGGTGCGTGACTAATGCACGCACCGCCCCATGTGACGTCACAGCCAGTACAGCGCCCGCCACAGTGGGGAGTGTCTGGGCGCACAATGCGCCTCCTCCCCTCGCTAGTATCCGTCCCGGAGCCGCGGCAAAGGTGTAAAAGAGCCACATGCGGCTCCGGAGCCGCGGGTTGCAGACCCCTGGTATAGATGAATGGCTTTTGGAGACTTATATGGGAAATGCCTTTTCATCCTACTTCTCACCTAAATACATACAGTACAAGCAGCAAAGATTTGCTTTGCTTTTATGCCGGAAGTCCAGAATAGATGAAGAAGATGAGGATTTAATTAGCTATGTTTTATGCTGGTTTATTTCAGTGCTTGAGCAATGAGGACCATGGGGGTGAGTTGTGGGGAGGGGAGGATAGTTAAGGGTTGCCTGTCCCAGGCAGATAATGAGCTAGAAACAGCTCTGGGCATGGAGATATATACCTTTTCGTTCTTACTTGTGATCCACATTTAGTGTGATGAGATTGCGTTTATTTTTAAAGCGATGCTTGAAATCCTTTTGGGGTCAAAGAGGTTTGTATTTGGATACTATGTAGAATTGGAGACTAGCGCTTACTTTATAGACAAATGGACACAATGTAATTGGCACATTAATTAGCTGAAATGTTAATAAAGACTTGATTGATTGAGAAGAGGCAAACAATAAGTCTTAAGTAATCACAAACCTTTATGCTATACAAAGTCCAGAATAAATTATGCCTCTCTCCACACCACTTTCTTTCTTCCATGCCCCTTTCTGACTCATGACACCTTAATTCTGTTTGTATTTGGTTGTTTTTGTTTGTTATTATTTTTGTTTGTTTTGAGTTTTTTTGGGGGGTAGGCTGTATGCCAAGAGCCTTCAAATCTCTGGATCCAGCAAGTGTTAAAATCTATTCCTGGAACAGCCAAACTAGCTTCCTAGTGAGGTAATAGGCCATTAAGGAAACAAAGGAAGTGGCTCATTGCCAGAGAACAAATGGGTGGGCCCCCTCCCTCCCCAACTCGCATGTAGTTAGAAAAACAAAGTTGAGAGTTGAGTTTTAGTGGGCCCAACTGTGACTAACTGACATCTGTAAACTAAATTGTTATCATCGTTATTTATATGATAATGCACATAGGAATGAAAAGATCTTCCCCTTTTGGTTATGTTAGTTTCTCATTTTACTAATTTTAAATTCAGTCCTCCACATTTCTGCAGCAATTTGTGGTTGTTGTTTTTATTTTTTTTAATCCTCGTGAAAATTCATGTTCTAATGTGAATTTCTCCTTAAAAACACATTTTTTGCAAGCATTTCCCCTGAATATACTGAATTTTTGTATGTTATTTTCACTACTATATAATTTTTGATGCACAGTTTCTACTAATATATACAATTTGGTAAACAATGTTTGGCTGGAGAACTGCAGTGCAAAATTCGGATAAGTGTGGATTTTGAAGGATGGCTATATTTTAGTTTTCCTATTTATTCTGAAAGTGTGGATTTGATAGTTTCACCTTTAAGTGTGAATTGAATTGAATTTCTTCCCCCCATCCCTAAATGCACCAAGAGATTCTGTGCTGTTGGTGGTGACAATGATGGCTCTCCTTGTCTGTGACCACCTCTGGCAGTGATTGGCTCAGCTGTCTGTCTATAATGGAGCAGTCTGTAATGGAGCAGTTGTATGGCAGTAACTGACTAGCTGCTTGCCAGTCAAAATGAAGTTGGCACAGAAGGGCCTCTGGCAATCATTGGCTAAGCTGCTTTGATCTGGGAAGGGCTGGGCAGGGAGATGTTTTAGCAGAGGAAGTGGTAAAGGAAATGGGGTTTAAGGAAAGCTAGACTGGAAGATGGGATGCTACAGGTGAATGACAGCAGGAGATTAAGAGGGAAAAGAAAGCTGGAAGAGGAAATGGGAGCAGGAACAGTAGAGGAAGGCAAGATTTAGTAAGCCTCTGGGTATGTAGAAATCATACCCATGGCCCCATTGCGCTCCTAAACTGCCACCCCAAGCTCTCTGTTAACAGGGAAATAAACATTGCAGCAATATTAATACTACTCTGAAAAGTGTTTTTGTCTCAATGTGCCACAGTTCAGTGAGCGTCTTTTATGGTTAAGATCAAGAAAAAACATAATTACCTTAGTATTATTATTAAATGAATGTAAATCAATATTCAACATATTATGCTGTTGCTTATGTTAGTGAGCTACTCTTGGTTATAATACTCTACCTTAAAAATATACTAGAAATAAAAAGAAGCCTCGAAAAGGGCAAATAAATTAGGGTTGCCACCTTTCCCAGAGGGGAATAAAAATCTGTCAGTGCTCATTTGCATATGATTTATTTAAGCACATGCACATTATAAAAAAAATCAATTGATTAGAATTGTCTGGGTGACAAAAAAATAGCCAGTTGAAAAGGAGACATCTACCCCCACCCTAGCAAGAAAGAAAGAAAGAAAGAAAGAGAAAGAAAATTACTCATCCTTTAAAATAATAATAAAAATAATAAATAGTTAGTGGCATAGAAAG